AAGACCATCCATTTAGGAGGAATAAAAAGGCATTCAAGAATAACGTTGTTGAGATTGATCCCCCTCCTCCACGTTTATCTAGTCTTGATGTCTGGAATAGGGTGGCACACTTACCAGTTTGCTATGAATTACAACAAGTAGACAATATTGCAGGATATGGTATTACACATAATTGGAAGAAACAAAGTATTTTTTGGAGGTTGCCTTATTGGAAAACCCAACTTTTATGTCATAATATTGATGTTATGCACACAGAAAGAAATGTGTTCATGAATGTGTTTGACACTGTCATGGATATCAAAGGCAAAACTAAGGATACAAACAAGGCTCGATTGGATGTAGCTGAAATATGTAATCGAAAAGAGCTAGAGTTGAAAGACATTGGACGTGGAAAACTTATCAAACCAAAGGTAGCATATGCTTTCACCAAATCCCAAAGACTCTCTATTTGTAAGTGGGTTAAAGAACTTAAATTGCCAGATGGATATGCTTCCAATTTGGGTAGATGTGTTGACTTGAATCAAGGAAAGTTACATGGTATGAAAAGTCATGACTGTCATGTGTTCATGCAACGATTACTTCCAATTGCGTTTGATTCGTTGCCAAAATCAATTTGGGAAGTACTAGTTGAACTTAGTCTTTTCTTTAGAGAATTGACTTCCACAACACTAAATATTGAACACTTACGAGTTATGGAAGAAAATATACCTGTCTTATTGTGTAAATTGGAACAAATATTCCCACCAAGCTTCTTTGATTCAATGGAACATCTTCCAATTCATCTACCTTATGAGGCAAAGGTTGGTGGTCCAGTTCAATATCGTTGGATGTATCCTTTTGAGAGGTATCTTTACACTAACTACTCACCCTCCATTTCTAAAGTATTTTATATGTTCTTTAAAGACTCCATTTTTGTATTCTTTTTTAGATTCTTACACTCCTTAAAAAGGAAAGTGAAGAATAAAGCTAGGGTGGAGGGCTCTATTTGTGAAGCTTACTTGGTGGAAGAAACATCTACATTTGCCTCATTTTATTATCCCGATCATGTTGAAACAAGAAGGACTAGGATTCCTAGAAATGTTCATGTAGGTGAAGGTTCTTCATCCCCTCCTCCTATTTCAATTTTCAACTACCCAGGAAGACCAATAGGAAAATCTCAAACATATTTTCTGGACCAAAGAGACTATGATGCTGCCGAATTATATGTTCTTCAAAATTGTGAAGAGGTTCAACCATATTTTGAGTAAGATGTTTTCACTTCTCTCACATCAAAATTACTCATGTTACTTTGTGTGGTTTGAGTAATTTGTTACGTGTTTGCAGTATTTATATTGAATATTTAAGACAGCTTAAATCCTAGTATTTCCGGTGCCCAAATTGACCAAGACATTTCATCCCATTTTCCTAAATGGTTTAAAAAATATGTAAGTTTTTGACTTATATGTCTTACAAATATTTATTCCGACTTACATAGTCTAATGTGTAAAGGACTTTGTCTGTCTTTAGGTTCTAAATCCAGAAAATAATATTGAAGATCCATTGTTGGTTAATTTGGCATGGGGTCCCAAGAGAAAAGTTGAATCATGGCCTATGTATGTTATCAATGGATACAAATTCCACACTATTGTTTGGAGTGAAGGCATGAATTCCCGTAACTATGGTGTTTATGTACGAGGAACCAATGGTCAATTAGAGTCAGATTTTTATGGATTATTGTCTAATATTATTCAATTAGAGTATACCTGGTTTGCCATTGATGAATTTAGTTCTCTTTCAAGTGTGAATGGTTTGACAATACTCTTAATATAGGAACCAAAGTAAATAATAAGTATGGAATCGTGGAAGTAAAGCAATCACGAAGATATAATAAAGCATATGATCCTTTTATATTTGCACAACAAGCAGAACAAGTTTATTACACAAGTTATCCGGAGGGACACCGAGGTTGGTTGGGTGTAATAAAGACAAAATCTCGTAGTAGAATCATTGATAATATAGTCAGTCAAGTTGAGCATGAGACTCCATACCAAGATGATGAGCTTGTAGGACTTGAAGTAGTGCTTCGTATTGATCCTAACTTCATTGATGATTCCCTTGCTGATGTTAATGGTGGGGGAGAAGAAATAGATATACAATTACTAAATGAAGGAAATATAGATGAAGATGAGGATGAATATATTTCAAGTGAGGATGAGACTCGAGAGTGATTTTGATGATACAGATACTTCGGTAATTCATGCATTAAAATTATTTTTACAATTGTTAAATTTGATTGTACACCTTTATTTAATATTGCATATATATACATATATATATTGATATGATTGTGATTTAATTATTTGCGAGTGAATGAGTGGTAAGCTAACCGACACGTTTGGGTGTAGAAAACACAATTAGGTAATTCATTGTTTTAATTGTTTAATTTTATGCATGTTACATATGTAATAAGATCTGCTTGTAGATGCCACAAAGGGGTAGCAGTGGTGGTCGTAGACCACCTCATCGTGGTGGTCGAGGTGTACTTATTGATGATAGAGGTTCACCCAGCCCTAACTCTCCTAGTTCTCGTTCGACCAAGATCCATGGAGTCTACTAATCTTATGTTTGTAGAACGCACACCTCCCTCAACTCGGCAGGAATCTCCGTAGCTATAGTAGGAGAAACAATTCCTACTACCTTCTCTATCGAGGCGACATTTAGTCAACCTACACAGTACTGGGTCGGTCGCAACCGAGGTTGAGTCCGGAAATATGGTTGATCAAAGGCCATGGTTACAAGCGGACAAAGGAGAGTAAGTATGTTTTAATTTAATTATAATTCTTTAATATGAAATTTCTTAATAATATCAATCCCACAATATGTTTCAACACAGGTTTATACCAACGAAATGGTCCTCCTCGCTATAATCTCTAGAATCATCAAACAAAAATTTGATGAACCAAGTCCCACTTGGAGAAAGGTTTCACTTGAGCTTCGAGATAGATGGTTTGGAGAGTTCAAGGTAATTTGAATTTTAGTTACATTAAACAATGTCATTTCATTCTTATAAATTAAATGTTTGTTGTGTATTTTATTTATGCAGAAAGAGTATATATGGGATGTGGAACAAGAGCAAGCCATAAGATCTGTTTTTGATAAGAAAGGTTCTCGAATTTTAAAAAACTTAATGAACAAAGTTAGGAATGGTAAGGATACGGGAATCTGGATACCGCCAGCTGTTCAAGCATCTTTGGACTTACATTGGAGTTCTCCAGATTTCCAAAACAAGAGTGTCATTGCCAAGGCTAATCGAGTTGTTGATAAGGGTGCCTCGACTCATCGTGGGGGTTCCATATCTACTGCAACTCACTTTGAGAAGATGGTAAGTTTATTATATTTTTATATAAGTAATTTAATACAATATATTACACTTTAGGTAATGAATTTTGTCTCATTTTAATGTGTAGACTACGGAGTTTCAACGGGAACCAACCGTTTGGGAGGTTGTTGAGAGGACAAAGAAATTAAAGACTGGAGAATGGGTCAATGAAAAAACTCGTTATCTTGCTGTATGTTTAACATCTAAGTTATAGTTTATTATTCAATATATGTTTTCTTCATAATAATTATATTTCACTTCATTTTTAGGAACAATATATGCAGCGCAGACAAGAAGTCCATCAACATAACTTGCGTGAAGACTCATCTTCACAAGAGTCTCCTATTGTCTCTGTTGATGATAATCAAATATACATTTCAGTTGTTGGAGGTGAAAATAAAAAAGGAAATGTGTATGGACTTGGTACATTGAGCAAAAAGTTCAGTACTACATCAGGTTCTCAATCTTCTACTTCTCAAACTCCAGTACTTCATCAAATTGAACAAATGCGTGAGACTATTGAAAAGTTAAATGCTGAATTGGTGGCAAAGCATAATAAGGAGAAGACACTTGAAGAAGAGATGCAGGAGTTGAGGAACAACCAACGCCAACAAGATGAGCGAGATGAAGCTTATTTTACAACATATTCAAATGAATAGTCATCCTACTACAAGTCAACAACATGACACTAGTCAACATGACACCGACAATATACCGGAGGACTAATTTTCAATTTTATGATATTAAGACCTTGAATCTTAAGTAGTTGTTAAGTTCTTAAGTTTCATTTATGTTATGTTTGGATGAATTAAGCAGGTACAAATTTTGTAAAATTGGATATACAAAATTTGACTTTAGTTCTTAAGTTTTCATTTATGTTATGTTTGGATGAATTAAGCATGTACAAATTTTATGATTTGAATAATTTGATTTTAGTTCTTAAGTTTTTATTTGTGTTATGTTTTGATGAATTAAGCAGGTATAAATTTTGTCAAATTGGATATACCAAATTTTAAACGAAAATTTTCAGATTTGGTTAGATTAGCGACCGATTTAAATTATTATTTAAAAAATTCAATTAATATATTAGCGATCGATTATATCCGTCGCTATTATGTCTCTAATTTAGCTGACCGATTTAGCGAATCGATTTTAATTTTTATTTAAATAATTATATTAATATATTAGCGATCGAATATATCGGTCGCTAAATAGTGACCGATTTAGCGACCGATTTTAATTTTTATTTAAATAATTATATTAATATATTAGCGATCGAATATATCGGTCGCTAAATAGTGACCGATTTAGCGACCGATTTATTATATAATTTTTGGTCGCTATTTTGGTCTCCAAAGAATAAGTGACCAAATTATTTAGCGACCACTTTAGCGACTACCTAATCGGTCGCTATTTAGCGACCGAATTGTAATTCGGTCGCTAACCAATTAGCGACTTGCCCTTTTGCGACTACCTATTTCGGTCGCTAATTTCGGTCGCTAACAGAATAGCGACCGATTTTTAGCCATTAGCGACCGATTTTTTCGGTCGCTAAAAGCATTTTTTCTTGTAGTGAATATTCTCTAAACTATAGAAGTGTGCGTCGAGCATTGCAAAGAGTTTGGTTAAGATATGTAAAATTTCACCGCTTTACAAATGGAACCAAACCATACATGTCCTGTGAATATATCTTTCAAATCATCCACACTAGCAATCCATCCTTAGCCCCTTAGCGCCTAAAAGGTGATTTTAATAAATATCTAAATAGAATACTTACATCTCTCCCTGAACCCATGTATCATATTTACCTCTAAAATAAAGAGCCTTAAATAGTAGAAAAAAAAACACTTACCCATTAAGTTGGTACATTTTCCCATATTCCTTCACCATAATCACTTTGAACAACATACATGTCATTTACTTCATTATTGACAATGACATCAAATATTCTACTTGAGAAATAAGGTATTTCATGACATATCTAGAGACTCATCTTCACGAATTTTGTATATGTTTTTTCTTTTCAAGACCATTGATAATTTCTAATTATATGGATTATTGACATAAAATATTTGTCTTGCTTGATATGTTATAATAAAATATTCATCTTATAATTGACCTTATCCAAAATAACTCATAGTCGTTACAATGAGATTTTTGTCTTTAAAACTTAGCCTAAATTGTAACTCCGTTATTTTTTTATTATATTTTTTGTTGGATTTTTTCGAGGGGGCTAATAACAATGAGATTCTGATAAATGGGTTATGAGTCAATCATATAAGAGAGAGAATATGACACCACCTTCAACCCAAAACCTTAAGGCATTAAGTTATGGGTCTTTCTCACTTATAACTTACTCAACTTTCTCATTTTTACCTATGTGGGACTTCAAACTCACACTTAAATTTACTTGTACCGTCGTTCAACTTAACGAAACTCATTTGCCTGAAACTCTTGTCAGGAAAACTTTCAACACTAGGACTTTTCACCTACTATACTCAACCGAGCCAGTCACTGGACGAACCATCGGCTCTGATACCACTGTTAGGAATCAGATTAACTGCATAAGAACTCACAACTAAAATAAAAGATGAGGAAAGAGAAATAAAACAGATAATAGGCAATAATAGAATTTTACTACCAGAAGAAATTACAATACCCTCTTTAAATCTAATAAGAAAATAATAATAATATTCTCTCTTAGAAATAAGAGAACTCAACTATTATGTAATGCACTAGTAGAAAGGAGAAGTAAGTGATTTGAGATGATTTTCAATATAGATATGATGTTCCTTTTATAACAAAAAAGTAAGTATCAACATATAATTTCCCTTATGTGAGATTTCTCTTCTCACATTATGTGTGCCCTATATGTGAATAAAATACAAGTTATACCTAATTGAAATATAGACAAAAGAATACATACACTAGACATGGCAAGTTCCTAGTTTGTAATTATTCATATCATAGATTGAAGAAAACATTTAATAGATGTTAAAAGAATAAGTTGCATTGACACCATGCAATAGTAACCAATTATATGAGCGGGAGAACATTAACATTATGTTTCAAAAGATACAAAAGAAGTCCATGGAGAAGAACATATAGGAGAAATTATCAATATTCTTTAATTAACTTTCTTTATTGGTACGGACTAGACGTTAAACACTATATAAATCTGTTACATATAGAGAAAAATGTTTATGATAATGTAATTAGGACATTACTTAACATAAAAGCAAAGATGAAAGATGAAGTGAAAGCACGATTGGATTCAATAGACATCAATACGCAATTACTTGTATTTAATTTGACATACTCTATCAAAGAAAAAAAAAATTAGGAGTGTTTACGCATTGTGAAAGTGACACTAAAAATATTATAGATAATAATAATAATTATTATTATTATTATTTATATATTATATATAATATAACTCACAACTCTGCCAGTTTTTTTTTTGCATATATGAAAAGATGATTTTTTTTATACTCAAATTTCTTGTATTAAAAAAAAAATCAGTGGAAATCAGTGTTCGAGTTCTTTCCGGACACATATTCAAAGAGAGACATAATCTTTATTACATAAATGATTGATATAATCAAAACCATTACATAACTAAACATAGTTAAAGTTAAAGAAAGAGAAAAAAAATTAGATAAATATATTCTTCATCCTAAAAAATATAAAATATGTTATATTAATTCTTAAAAGTACTTTTGTATTAATTAAATAGTTCTAAATTGACAACATGATTTTAAAGTATAAAAATTTAACTCCGTACAAGATCTTCTCCCTCTTTAACAGCTTCTACGTGAAAACCCTTAACTGTGTCGCTGTTGTTAACTGGCAAACTGGTATGAGTTTCTTTCTAAGGGTTTGTGAATTAATGGAAATTGAAAGATTTGCTCATATATAATTTAAGTTTTTGGGCAAGGGTAAATGGTGTAATTTCCTTTATTTATTTTTGAAATTGGTAAATCTTTAAAAAAATTTGGACAAAGATAAGATTTCGAATGCAACAATTCGTGCTTAAAAAGTCATTGACGTATACAACTTTTTCATATTACAGAATTTTTGTGGAGTTATACTCCAATCCACGGTTTTAGTAGATTTTTGTTTAAAGATGTGTATTGATGACTTTAATTATAATTTTTTTTATATTAAAATCATTAATTGATTGATGGTTTTAGTTTAATTTTTATATATTAAGTTATTAATTAATTATTTTGATTTATATATATAATTTTTTTAGGTGAGTTTTTTATTTTTAATTATTATAAGTTTTATTTTAATACTTATAAAATTAATAAAATAAAAAAGTAATTAGTATTTAACGTGAATAATATTAAATAATTTTTAAATATATTAAATTAATAAAAAAAAGAATATATTAATGAGAAAATATGAATATATTATATAGAAAAATGAAATTTTATATTTTTATTGTTGAAATTAACCATTAACATGATGATGACTTTTTTCCCACGAAATAAACATTTTTTAAGCTTAGAATAAACTCATCAATTTTATTGTGAATGTAAATGTAAGTTGTTGTTGTTCTTTCTATTTGTTATCGATGCAAACTTAAATTATAAACAAATTTTGAATCTAATTAATCATACTATTATTATATAGTTTACAGGACGTCTCTAATGTAATTTGGTACTTTTTGGACATCCAACTCATAATCTTAGACATATTAATATTTAAAAAAAGTTATATTTAAAATTTATTCAATATTGACATCTAAATATCAATTAATTAATTATTTTACTAATTTTATAATAAAAATAAAAATTTTAATAATTAAAAAATAAAAAATTAACCATATATATATATATATATATATAATTCATTAATTAAAGGTAATTAATTGACTACTTTAATATAAAAAAAATTAAAATCAATTAAAGTCGTTAACTAAAAACAATTTTATTTTTTTACTAAAATCAAGATTGGAGTACGACGTCACATAAATAATAAAAAAAAGTTATGATTTAAATGAGTTATATAAGTACGACTTTAATATAAAGTCTCTCAATGATAAAATTGTGTTTTAAAGAATGACTTATTTAATATGAAATTATATTTGGAGATAAGACTTATCTAAATCTAAAAAAATTTAAATTTTTATCCATTTAAAAAATAAATAAAATGAATTACATCACTTTAAACAAAATTTATCGAAGTTTTTGAGACCTTGAAATTGTAGTTGATAGGGGAGAAAGTAGGAAACTTTACCTATGATACCACTTGACAACATGTATTATCATTTATTTATTTATTTAATTCTGTTAGGGTGTGTGTTTGACAGAAGAGGAGAATGTACATACTTAGATAAAATAATTTATAATTCTTTTTTACCGTTGACAAACCAACTGGCTCTTTCATATATATTAGAATTTAATATTTTAATGAATAATCACATTTTAAATATAAATTTGATTTTTTAGAAATATTTAGTTACTAAATTTATCATAAAAGAGTTCTCTGATTAAATAAATAAATTATTTATAATTTTTTAAATATTTATCTCAATTTGAAATATATTTATATTTTATTTAGATTTAAACTAAATTATATTATTATTTAAAATAAATCTTTAAATATTAATTAAATTTTAAAAATTTATTAAATTTTTATTTTATGTTATTTGTAAAAAAATAAATGAAAGAAAAAAGGAAGTACAAGTAACATAAAATAATAATAATAAATAAAAGAAAGAGAGATAAAAAAATTGTTAAATAAAAATGTAATAAAGTTAATAAATTATCTAATAAGTGAGTTTGTACTTAATAAAAAATGTTAAATAAAAATATAATAAACTTAATAAATATCAATGTACTTACACCAACAATATTAATTCTTATTAATGATGTATTAATGCTATTAATGATAATGAATGAAACATTAAATACTCATTTAATTGATTACGAATCGGAGTAGATTAATATGTACTATGATTTTTTAATAAATCTAAGATATAGAAAGTCAATAATTTATATGGTACATCTACTAACTCGTCTTATCGATTAAAAAACTGTGGTTAAACAAAAATAACAAACTAAAACAGAATTGGACTTTTAATTCTTATTATACAGAGATCTTATTTCAATTATATTACCTTAGTTTTTATGGAGATATTTTCTCATCCGGGAACGATAAGTAACAAATAGCACAGTATAAAAAAATACACCCAAAGAAAGGAGTGAGATAATAAAAAAATAGAGGGAGACAATCCAATTGTTCCTTAGTCCATCGTTTCTCAAAATCCGTCTCCATCCTCAATCCCTCCTTTCCCACCTTAATGGTTCTCTTTCCAACTAAAAGGAAATTCTCACTCTCTCTTTCTCTGCCAACAAGGCAAAATTGTTGCATTCCTTCAAGGAGAACAAATCTTATGGTTCCCACATTATAGGTTTCCACTTCCCTCTCTCATAAATATTATGCATATGCCTATTATGCCCTTCTTTACTTTTGTCTCCATCAGCACCTTTTCCTTTAAAATCCACCTTGTCCTCAAGGTGGAAGTCAGAAAAGGATTCCTTCATTTTGCATATGAATTCCCACGAATTTTCACATTGCGGCAGATTTTTCCATTTCACTAACACTTCTAGAATTCTTTCTTCATCTCCTTTGACTGTCAATATCTCTTCTGGTTGCACTTGTAACTCCAATTTTTCATTCACAAAACTAGGTAATGGTTGGACTTCCGTTGCAGTTGAAATAGTAGGTTTCAACAAAGATACATGAAAAACGGGATGAACTTTGCTCCCTTCTAGCAATTTCAATCTATATGCCACCTCCCCAATTTTTTCTGTGATTTCATACTGTCCATAAAATCTAGGGTTGAGCTTCTGATTAACCCTTTTCACCAGCTTCTTCAACTTATAGGGTTGAATCTTCAAGTAAACTACATCTCCCACCTTATAACTCACTTCCCTTCTATGCTTGTCGGCTTGTTGTTTCATGCGATTTTGGGCTTGAGCCAACTGGTCCTTCAATATGCTTAAATCTCATTCCTATCTCTGATCATCCAAGCAACTTCTTCTATCAGAGTGGCTGAGCTATCTCCTCTAATCAAAGGAGGAGGATCCCTTCCTTGAAAGGGGGTCATTTTTGTAGATTCATGGTAATTGGTATTATACAAATACTCTGCCCAACTCAACCATTTGTGCCACTATCTGGGTCTCTCCCCTGTCACACATCTCAAATATGTTTCCAAATACCGATTCACCACTTCAGTCTTCCCATCCATCTGTGGGTGGGAAGCGAAGCTGAATTTCAGTTTAGTTCCTGCCATTCTGAACATCTCAGTCCAAAAAGCACTCATAAATACCTTGTCACGGTCCGACACAATAGATTATGGGAATCCATGGAGTTTTACCACATTTTTTTGGAATACTTCTGCAACTTCCTTGGCATTATAAGGGTGGGATAGGGCAATGAAATGGGCATACTTGGTGAGTCAGTCTACCACCACCAATATTGTGTCTAGTCCTCTCGCTTTTGGTAAGCCTCCAATGAAATCCATAGATAGGTTTGCCTAAATCTGTTTTGGGATAGGAAAAGGTTGTAATAATCCAACAGGACTCAATGTTTGATATTTATTCCTTTAACACACCTTTGCACATAGTCTTGAATGTTCTTCCTCATCCCTTCCCAGAAAAACATTCTAGAAGTCAAGTGCGGAAATATCCTGAATGTCCCCCTACCGCTGAATCATGGAACTCCTTTAATATTACATGAATTTTCAGTGACCCCTTTGGAATGACTAACCTTTCTTCGTAATACAACCTTCCATTCTTTAGTGTGTACCCCTTATGTTCTCCCTTTTTTAGCAACAAATCTCGGATGATTTTATTCAATCCTTCATCCTTCACAACCTCTGCTTCTAACTCTTCCCAGTCTAAGAGTTAGACTGTTGAGATAGCTGAATACAACATCTTTCTTGAGAGGGCATCTGCCACTTGGTTCTCTGCTCCAGGCTTGTACTAGATCTCAAAATCAAAGTCCAGCAATTTAGAAATCCACTTGTTTTGCTCCTCACTCGTCAATCTTTGTTCAGCTAAGAATTTCAAACTTTTTTTATCAGTTTGCACTATGAAGTGTCTTCCTAGCAGATAATGCCTCCATTTTTGCACTGCCATGACTACTGTCATCAGTTCCTGTTCATAAACTGACTTGTTCATAGCCCGATCCGGGAGGGTATGACTCATATAAGCAATTGGTTGCCCTTCCTGCATCAACACAACTCCAATTCCCTTGCCTGATGCATTTGTCTCTACAATGAACATCTTCTCAAAGTTTGGGACATCAAGAACAGGAATCTGGGTCATTGCTATTTTCAACCTGTCAAAGGCCTCTTGTGTTGTTTCATCCCATTTGAATTTATCCTTCTTCATTTGTTGGGTTAGAGGCCATGCGATCTTCCCATATCCCTCAACGAATTTCTGGTAATAGCCTGTGAGGCCCAAGAACCCTCTCAACCCCTTCACGTCCTTTAGAACTGGTCATTCCATCATTGCTTGTATTTTGGTTGGATCTGTTGCCACTCCCTGACCTGAAATAATATGTCCCAAATACTCTATGCTCATCTTCAAAAACGTGCATTTCTTCTTGTTGATGACTAAGTTATTTTCCCACAAGCTTTCCAACACCTTCCTCACATGCTCTTGATGACAATCCATGGTTTTACTATAAATTAGGATATCATCAAAGAACACTAATGTGAATTTCCTCAAGTAAGGTCGCAGGACTTGATTCATTAGAGCTTGGAAGGTTGAAGGGGCATTTGTAAGCCCAAAGGGCATTACTAAGAATTTGTAATGTCCCTTATGAGTTCTGAATGTGGTTTTAGAAACGTCTCCTTTATCCATTCTGATTTGGTGATAGCCTGATTTGATATCCAATTTGGAAAAAATCATGGCTCCTCCCAATTCATTAATGATGGGAATGGAAAATTTATCCGGTATTGTAATCTTGTTTAAAGCTCTATAATCAATACAAAACCTCCACTCTCCATCCTTCTTCCTAACCAAAATAACAGGGTTGTTGTAGGGGCTATTACTAGGCCTTATAATTCCTGTTGTTAACATTTCCTTCACAAACCTCTCAATTTCATTTTTTTGGTAGTAAAGATACCTGTAAGACCTAATATTAGGTACATTTGCTCCCTCCTTAAGAATCACAACATGATCACAAGCCCTCTTAGGGTGCAAGACAGTGGACTCTCTAAATAAATCATCATATTCATTTAGCACTGCAGCCAATTCTCGGAGCATATCGTTACCTGTTTTCGTGTCTATAGTTGAGGGATTTTGATAAGACAACATGAATCCTTCTCCTTTATCATTGAGAGCCTTCACCATAGCTTTCCACGAAGCTTGAGATTTACAAAGGGAGGGGTCACCCTTTATCACTCTTTTCTCTTTTAGTTGTTCCCACTTCAACACCAGATTTCTGAAATTAGCTCTTACATTCCCCAAGCTAACCAGTCAATCCATTCCCAAAACTATATTTGTTCCTCCCAGCTCCACTAAAAAGAAATGTTGTACTATGGGACCCCCTGAATCTCCAATTCCAGCTATTTACATATTCCTATATTAATCACCTTATCCCCTATCCCTACTTCAACTATAAATTTTGTTGTCTCACTCACTTCCAGCTTGAGGTGATTAACCAAATTTTTTGAGATAAAATTTGTTGATGTTTTGCAATCCACTAACACTAGAACCTTCGTTCCTCCTAGCCTCCTTGTAACCTTGAATGATTGATTTGAGGTTAGTCCTTCCTTGCTCCAGATATTTGTAACATTTTAGCCTCAAGGATGTTATAATCGCGCAGCGGAATGATCGCGTGGTCGAACAAAAACCAAGAGGGGGTGAACTGGTTTCTTAATAAAAATTAGGTTTTCAAAATTTTTCCCAAATTTTATCGATTAAAAACTGTGTAAATGTAAATAGAGAAAGGATAGAAATCTTACACAGGAGATTTATACTGGTTCGGATCAAAAGACCCTACGTCCAGTTGTTAATCACTCAACAGATGATTAACGCTGTCACTATAAACAAGTTGTTACAAACAGATTACAATTGAGAAGATAAAAATACGAAAACACCTCTCTTGAAATCCACAAGAGATGATGAACAACTTTCCCTAGAGACGGCACAGCACACAATCCATTAAGAACTCCATTTAGTGATTCTTATCACTTCTAGCCCACACCAGGTTCCAAAAGCCCCCTTTCCTTGCAACAAACAGTTCTCTGGCACTCACAGCACTTAACTTTTGTATGGAAAAGGTTGTTCTTTTTTTTCTGAGTGCCATAGAAGAGTTTAAGTAGAGAAATTAGGGTTTAGGAATTGGGGATTTTGAAACTAGGGTTCTTGGAAATAGGGTTTTCGAAAATAGGGTTGATTTGAAGTTTAAAATCAAAAACAGATTGAAATAATCGATTAAATGAAGTTATAATCGATTAAAACAGAGCCAAAATCAACAGAACCCAAAACCTCTCTGTTTTAATCGATTAAAAGGGGTTTTAATCGATTATCAGACCTGATAATCGATTATCTGGAGATTTAATCGATTAAAGCAGTGAGTTGATACAGAAAATGGTTTTCTCACTGTTTTAATTGATTATTTTCCTATATAATCGATTAAAGCCGAGCCTGGATGATAAATTTGAGCTTTCTGAAGCTTCTTAGGTGCAAACTATGTACCGGCTATCTTAAACTCTAATATTACAGACTCAATCTAATTAAAACAGAGTTATTACAATACAAAACAAGTCTTCAACACACTAAGTCTTTGAGTTCTTGAATCATCATCAAAATCAACAATCTTCATGTTCATCAAGTGCAACATCAAGTCCTTGAATGTTCAACAATCTCCCCTTTTTTGATGATGATCAAAATTATCTTTTAAAGCCCTTGTAATAACCTGTTTTATCTGTCATACTAACAAACACATCAAACATACCAGATAATATTTAAATGCAATTCATAAGAGGCTTTAAATATTTCTCCCCCTATTTTGATTATAATAAAAAAGAACTCTGCAATAACAATCATAAGAGCTCCCCCTCAAAATATGCATAAGTTGGAGATAACTCCCCCTCAATCAAAGCAATAACAAAACATCATATTTTATTGCAGAAACAATCATTTATTACAATAACAAGAGAAAAATAAGAAAATAATCAACAAAATTTAAAATTCTTCACTATCATCATCATTAAAGTGTGCATCAAATCTATTTTCTAAACGACACAATTTATCATCTATATCAGATATACGGCGAATTATTTCCTCATGCCGTACTCCAGAGAGAGTGAAGAATGATTGCATCCTCTTATTCATGTCAGATAACATGTCTTC